CCACGGTCTCTGTGCCCGGCAGCTCTGTCCTGGCCCTGAGCCGTGTCCGGGTGTCCCTCTTGGTCCCGTTATTCCAGTTTAACCCGTTATCCACGTTTTCCAGGGCCAGCGTGTCCATCCCGTTATCCAGCTGTGTCCGGGTGTCCTTGTCCATCCTGGTGTCCTTCTCCATCCCATTATCCATGTGTTCCAGCTCCCTCCCGTTATCCAGCTGTGTCCGGGTGTCCCTGTCCACCCTGGTGTCCCTGTCCATCCTGCTCTCCAGGTCCGTCCCATTATCCAGCGGTGCCTGGCTGTCCCTGTCCATCCCGCTGTCCGTGCCCTCCAGGGCTGGCAGGTCAGTCCCCATTCCCAGCCGTGCCTGGGTGTCCCTGTCCATCCCAGTGTCCCTGTCCATCCCAATATCCCTGTCCATCCCTGTGTCCCTGTCCATCCCAATATCCCTGTCCATCCCAGTGTCTCTGTCCATCCCAGTGTCCCTGTCCATCCCAGTGTCCCTGTCCATCCCGGTGTCCCTGTCCATCCCAGTGTCCCTGTCCATCCCTGTGTCCCTGTCCATCCCTGTGTCCCTGTCCATCCCGGTGTCCCTGTCCATCCCGGTGTCCCTGTCCATCCCAGTGTCCCTGTCCATCCCTGTGTCCCTGTCCATCCCTGTGTCCCTGTCCATCCCAGTGTCCCTGTCCATCCCGGTGTCCCTCTCCACCCCGTTATCCGTGCCCTCCAGGGCTGGCAGCCACGCCAGCCGTGCCCGGTGTGTGCTCAGCACCAGCAGCCGCGCCGCCGCCGCCAGCAGGAACCGGGCGGGGCCGAGGCGCCGCAGCCGCTCGCTGCCCACGTCGGCCTCGGCCACCAGCCCCCAGGCCACGGCCAGCACCGACCAGAGCCGGGCACCCGAGCCCAGGGACACCGAGAGCACGTCCAGGGGAGCGGCCGAGCCCCGGCACAGCAGCAGGGAGCAGTTCTGGAGGAGAGAGACCCCCAGGGCTGGGGACAGTCTGGGGACAGAGAGAGAGAGAGAGAGAGAGAGAGAGGGGTCATGGGGGGCACAGGGACATGGGGGCACAGGGATGTGTCACACGGGGTCACACAGGCACCCCCAGCACAGCAGCAGGAGCAGGGACACCCCCAGGGCTGGGGAGAGTCTGGGGACATGCCCCAATATCCCCCTATGCCCCCAATGCCCCCAATGCCCCCCAACATCCCCCCTGTCCCCCCCCGTGCCCCCCAACACCCCCTTACCCCGCGTGGCAGTTGAGAGCGGCCGCCAGCCCGTTCCCGGAGCCGCAGGGCAGGACCCCGAGGGGCACCCGCAGGGCCAGCGCCCAGTCCGGGCGGGACAGGAGCCCGTTCAGCACCTGGGGGCACCAACGGGGCTGGGTCACACCTGGGTCACACCCAGGGACACCTGGGGACATCTCTGTCACCCCAAAACCCACAGGGAACCCCCTGGTCCGGGTGGGACAGGAGCCCCTTCACCACCTGGGGACACCAGTGGGGCTGGGTCACACCTGGGTCACACCCAGGGACACCTGGGGACACCTGGAAACACCTGAGGGACACCTGGGGACATCTCTGTCACCCCAAAACCCACAGGGAACCCCCTGGTCCGGGCGGGACAGGAGCCCCTTCACCACCTGGGGACACCAGTGTCACCTGGGTCACACCTGGGTGTCGCCCCCAGGGGCTTTTAAGGGGGCTGGTTCCACGCCTGGGGGGTTTGAGGGGGCTCGGGGGGTGTGAGGGGGGGTTTGGGG